ATGACTCATCAGACAAAGAAAATCAGTGACATTTCTTCCTATTATGGATCTAATCTAATCTGTCACGATCTGAAGGATCAAAGATGCTGCACCTCATTTGGCCCAATCCTCCACCTCCTCAGATCAGCTGCTGCATGTTAAACACAGGCCTGGTGGTCGGACACCATGGAAGGACCTATGGATTAACTTTTAACCAATCTGACTGGATCGTCTCTGTAAAGAGCCTTGAGATGACGTGCTTTGAATTGACATTATAGAATTAAACTCAAGTGAATTGACAAACTTTCAGATAATCCCTCCAATAAAAAGTCCAATCAAAGGTTATTGTGGCCATGAACTGGGAAAACACCAGAGCAGCACCTAAAGGCACTGGTATTCCTGCCAAGTTAACCGTTAGCTTCAAGCTAAACTTTGTGTTGTTGCTCCAACATTAGTTCATTCATGTTGCTGGGATTTATGAACAGACAGCAAAGTTTACCTTCTGGTTCACGTTCTGTCGGCACTCTAGAACATATTTACCAGGCTGGGTTAGAAACGCTTCGTTATCACATGTAGCCTGGTAGCTTTAGCCGTAAGTGGCGCCCAGGGCTGTCCGTGAAGATTCGCCCTGACTCCCCCAAAGAGGACTACAGGCGTTACGCCATTTTATACGAGGGTCTGAACGTTACCTCAACAAACAATTCCCACAACACACCTTGAAAAGTAGTTATCATCCATGGTCACCAGGTGAGCAGATATATCCCAGAATGCTTTGCAGGAGCTTCCCTCACAAAGGTTTATGGGATTTGTTTTGGGGGTGAGAGAGAACAAAGATGGCACCGTGCGAGGAGGCGGAGTCACATTTAAAGTAGTGATCATCTGTTTGAATAGTCGTTTAACAATGAAGTCCACTATATGGTGATGGAGGAGGCGGGGGTCAGGGGTCAGGGGTCAGGGCAGATGGTCGGACGCAGCCTAGGTGTCCCATTTTCTGTGGACATCTTTCCCTTAATGAGTCTGTTTCTTATTTTAAATTTTTAGAGTTTAATGTTCTAGAAGAGCACGCTGTTATCAGGGCAGCTGGGGTAGCATGTTATGCTGCAGCAGTAGTTGTCATGGTAACAGAAGCAAAGGGGGAGCACATGTTGTCGTCCCCTATAGGTAGCTGTCCTGGGATCCGCTGCAAAAATGAATCATTATTAGTTCAGCTATGCTGATCAATCTGATCAGGGACCTTTGGTGTATATTTCCACAGGTTTTAATCACCTGACTGATGTTAAAACACAATAAGATGCAAAATGAAAATATTCACACGTTTTTAGAATCTGATATTTCTAAATTTAGTTATTTTGTTTTACTCCTTGACATGTATAGCCCCCACCCTGTTCCCTTCAGACCCCCTTCCTGGGCCCCCACTTT